AAGTTGAGCTTGTGTTGTCTTGAGTCTAATATCCTGAGTTAAAATTGACTCTGAAAGTTATTTGTTGACAATCAGCTGCCCCTTCATCGTGAAGTTGAGCTTGTGTTATCTTGGGACCAATATCATTCGCTGTGAAGTTGAAATTGGTTCTAAAATTGGGAAATTATTTGTTGACAGTCAGCCGCCCCTTCGCTGTGAAGTTGAGCTTGTGTTGTCTTGAGTCAAATATTCTTCGCTATGAAGTTGAAATTGGCTCTGAAACTGGGAAGTTGTTTGTTGACAACCAGTCGCCCCTTCGTTGTGAAGTTGAGCTTGTGTTGTCTTGAGTCCAATATCCTTCGCTGTGAAGTTGAAATTGGCTCTGAAACTGGGAAGTTGTTTGTTGACAACCAGTCGCCTCTTCGTCGTGAAGTTGAGCTTGTGTTGTCTTGAGTCCAATATCCTTTGTTGTGAGGTTGAAATTGGCTCTGAAACTGGGAAGCCCCTTCGTCGTGAAATTGAGCCTCAAATGGCACGATATCCTCCGTCGTGGAGTTGAAATCATGGATGGGTGGGTACGATATCCTCCGTCATGGAGTTGAAATCGCGAATGACCCCTTCGTCGTGAAGTTGAGCCTTGACTTGAATATCCTTCGCCGTTAAGTTGAAATCCAAGTATTGTATGTTGCGGGTAGACACGATTCCCTTCATCGTGAAGTTGAAACCGTGGATGACCCATTCGTTGTAAAGTTTGTCTTCGAGTCAGATATTCTTCATCGTGAAGTTGAAATCTACTCTCGAGAAAATTGTGTCGTTTTGAGTCTAATTTCCTTCGCTGTGAAGATGAAATTGACTCTAAAAGCTGTAAAAAAAAATATGTGTGCTAAAAATGATAAATGTGATGCTCTTAAGTATGTATAAGATGCATGCAACATGAATGAATTATGTTTTATCTCTTGGATTGGAGTCCCGTGTTTTGTCTGCCAATATGATCCATGGAATCGATCGTGCCCCATTTTCTTCTCGAGCTTTGGCTTTACCGACCTTTCATATTTGAGACTGTCCTATTTGAAAATATTTTTTTTCTTTTTTTTTGTTTTAGGAGGGAAAACAATTTTGTAAAATATTGTTCGCAATTGAATCAAATTGTAAACATGAGTTAAAAGTATATCAAAGGAATCAATAGCTCTTTTTAATGCTTTCAGAGTTATTACTCTTTGACAAATGTTCAAATGGATGAGTCAGCTATTAGGTTGACCTAAGGTTTCAGCCAAAAAAGGTAATTTTTTTGTTATTGCAACGTGCTTTTTTGGTTTGGCATTTTAATTGGGTGCTGAGAAAATGACGCAACTAGCATGATCAATTACTAGACCTTTTATTTCGGTCCTCTGAAATCTTCCATTTGTTCAAGCCTCGCAAGCTCCTCTAACAAAGGTAGTGCATAAATATCAGTATAAAAATGAAATTCCTGAGTGCTCGTGTAAAGTTGACTATAATAGGTGTTCCTTAACTCCCTTAGTCCATCATTACCAAAAATTTCTTGTTTAGATAAATTTGATTTAATTTACCATTATCTGGCTAGCAAATCCATAAAGCCAGGGCGTTTAACCAATTGCTTTAGAGGGAAAACTTAATATTATAATCACTTTTATCAGGTTAACTGAAGGGTTCATCTCATCACAAAGTCTTCATCCTGACAATAGCAGTGGAGCAAACACTAAGTTGCCAAGTGTCCGAGCAATGTCATGGTTTGAACGCAATCTATTCATAAAGCCAGGGCTTTCAAGTTTCCTCTATAACCAATTGCCTTAGCAGAATAGCTCAGTTTTACGGATTTAATTTCTTAAGATTGTCAAGAAGAACCTGTTATAGTCTAGGTGTTTTTGAAAGTCAAAGAATCTCATCTTTAGAGTTCAATTTCCAAACAACTGACCTAAACTAGATTTGATTACTCGACTATTCCATCTGTGAGGATCATTATCATCACTGAACGTCTTAAACAAAAAGTATAAAAATGTCATATGCAAAAGGATGCCCCATGTTGTCTGCACCATATGAATTGAAAATGTTATATTGGTTAATTGCAAGAGCAGGGTATGATGTTTGAGGGTATATTCTGGGTAAGGTCAAAGTCTTTATTTTAAGTCATGTTACTTCGTCAAAGATCTGTAACTTTGAACCATTTACAGAGTTTCTTAATTCAAATGATATTCAAAAAATTGTAAGTTTGCAAATGTGATTCATTGCTTAACATCTTTAAAGTAACATAAATTTCTTTAAAAGTCCTTACAAAAACTTGAGAATGAAAAAAAAATGAAAAAAAAAATTCAAACAGAATGCCTCAAATGATGAAATGATCTCCCTCACTTGGATGCCCCTAAGTTTTTGAAGTCAATCCAGTTCTTGTTATGTATTTTCTGTACGATTCTCTTGAATGTGGAGTAGTTCTCATTTGTGTGCCCCGGGACACTGTCGTGATATTCGCAATGGGCACTCTCATCATACCACTTGGAGTATAGGGGCTTAATGGGTTCCACTAGATATGGTGACACTACGTGGGTGTCAAAAAAAATTGTTGGTAACGCTATTTCGTAGGTCATGAGAACATGATCGAAATGTTCCCATTTTTTATGAGACATACGAAAAAAGAAAAAAATAATGCGAAATATGCAGGAATGCATGATGCATGCAATGTTCGAGGCATTGATCCAAAAAATATGTCTGTTATTATGAATAATCCTTATTGGGGACACAAGTGTTTTATCTTTTAAGAGACAAAAATATCCTGATAGCTTCTGACATGTTGACTAGTCTTTGTCTGTCACCGGTTGAATAACCTGTCAAACCGATCTGGCTTCGCTGGATGAACTATGCAAATGTTGAGTTGTTTTTTGTACTGGCCCAAGAAGTCTCGAATGATTGCATCTCAGACATTTATCTTTTGTTGAACCTGTTCTCAACAAATATGTTATTGGAGCCCTCAATTGATAGGAACTATATGAAGTTCATTTGTCTGTTTCTTGAATTTGTCAGTAATGGTCTCCAATTTTAGCTATCGTTTTGTCATTGTTGTCTTTGAAGGGACTCCCTTCATCTTTCCCTTGCAACCTTTGCCAGTCAGTTCTTCAAAGATAGACTTTCATTGTGCTTGATGTAGACTCGGTTCATTCTGAGTCCTTTATAATGCAGCAGAGTGATACACTCTTCAATTATGGGCACCACGTCTTCTGGATTGAATGCGACATATAGTCGCATTGTAGACTGTCCTCTGCATTTTCATCTCTTGTATTACAACCCCTTTGTCCATTAATGCAAATTATTCATGTTTAACAAACACATTTTTGGTGGATCAAAACCTCATTTTAAATGACGCGAATGATGAAAACAAAATAAAGGAGAACAAAAAATAAAAAGAGTTAGTAAGGTAAATCAAAACAATAATAAAAATGAAAAATCCTACCCCACATGATATCTACCCCACATGCTTTAATTCCTACCCGGACATGATCTTTATCTCGCATGCTAATTTCAAACAAATCCTAACCGTATATTTGTCTAGTTCGCATGCTTTGAACAGAAAGTAAGGCAGAAAATAAAGCAGCCTAGGGTTTGGAATGAGGTTTTGGGGTGAGCTCTAATTCCCTGTACTCTCCCGGTTTAGGTTCTAAAAAGGTACTCGAGTTCTCCTTGCTAGTGCCCCTTGGGCTTGCCAGACCCTTAGTCCTAAACCCATCACAGGCTTGTGTGGACTAAGTTAAACTCGAGAGGATACATTCCCTTATGCCCATACGGAGAATAAATTCACACGAAGGCATAAGGTATATGAATCCCGAAGGTTACTTACTAGGCCCATACGGTGAATAAATTCACACGAATGTGTCGCTTTCACCCCCACTTAAAAGGGTTTGGAGCTCGGGTATAGAGCCTGAGATGAAATTTTTTAAAAAATCTAAAATCATTAAAAAACGTCAGTACAACTATTTATTTGAAAAAATAATCAAAAATAAATAATAAGAATCGAATAAATAAATTAAAATTTAAACTTGTAATTTTCGCTAAAAAGACAACCAGAAATTAATTTTGGTCTGACTCACTTACCTGTCCCCAGCGGAGTCGCCAAGCTGTCGCAACCATCTTTCAGTTAGGCCCCGAATTGGGATTCGACTTGGATTAAATGGGTTGGAGTCGCCACCGATAATTTATTTTAAAACAAATGGGTTGATCGGATACCCTATTTCTTACATGAGCTGCGTCTTTCCAAAGATGTATCGGGTTCGGGAGTCGATTACAGCCAAGGAATGATTAACACCCTTGTACTGCCCTTTCGGTACCAATTAATTTCTTGGTTGTCTTAATTACAAAAATTAAAATTTAAAAATTCGATCATAATTATTTACCTTTTGATCGATTGAAATTAACTCTAAAAAAGTCAAAGAATGTTAGATTGAAAACAAATATTAGATAAATTGAAGGGAGAAATAAATAAATAAATAAACCGCATGGTTACTTAGGGTAAATAACAATTAAAAATTGAACAACAGACAAAAGTAAGCACACATTTAAGCTACTTGGACTTTGAGTTTAGGAGCACATCCACATGAGTCTACCAAGACTATGTTTAAAGCAACATATGTACAGATATAGATGAATACTATAAAGAATAGTAGAATACTTCAAAATGTTGTAATCCAAAACTGACACTTGTTATAATTTAGCTAGTAAATTTAACTCCAAAAGAATAAAAAGAGAATTCATACTTACACCTAATCAAAATATTATATAAGTTCACGATGAGCTATAGCAACAGCGCCATGTGAAGAACAAATTGCAAAATTCGATTAAAATAATGACAAGAGGCACAATTTTGAATGTTTTCATGATTAAACTAATATATATATATATATATATATATATATATATATCCAAATAACGTGAAAATCCTAAAATGGAACCAAGAACAAACCCAAGAATTAAAAATACCTCCTCAATATTACCATCTTCTTTGTTGGATTAAACCTACGATGGGTACTTTCAAGTTGAATTTCGATGGTGCCTGCCCTCGGCCACCTGCTCTACCAGCAATTGGCATGATTTTGGGCGATAGTGATGGAGTTGTTATGGCAGGACAAGTGTTCATTATTGGTGTTCCTCGTTCAGCAAGTGTTGTGGAAGCTTTGGCGATCGCATATGATGTCCGATTGGCGATGAGTATTGAGTTGTCGAGGGTGGTGATTGAAAGTGATTGTTGGAATGTTGTTCAACAGTTCAATATTCGTGACGCTCGTCAACTCTTGGCCGCTCATCCTCACATTTCAGCTAGGTTTAACCATCGGGAAGTTAACAGTGCTGCTCCTGCTCTTGCAAATTATACTTAAGTCGTATATACACCTTTCGATTTCCAAGCTGATGCTCCAAATTGTATTACTAAGAAAGCTTAGCATTCCCTCCTTCTAGAAACAGATCGTGATTGGCGACGCCTAGACGCAGATGAAGACGAACAAGAAGAAGACTTGGAAAAACGAAAGCTCCATGAATTTGACTCCATTTTCCCGGGAAAATAAAGCAGCTTCTTCTTTTACAATCCATCAAAACTCTCTTCCTCTAAAACATTCTCCAAATCGTTTATATAATGCGGCTCGGCGTTGGATTCAGTGAAGAAGGATAACACGTTGGAGCAGATCATGTTGGCTTTGATGCGAGAGTCTCGACCACCTATACTGAGTTGAAGCCAACCTTTATCCCGTTCTTCTTGTTCTTGATTGTTATCCTTAGAGTTGGGTCCCTCCTCATTAACAGTACTGTTAGTTCTTGGTTCATCAAGAACCGGAGGCGAATTGTTGTTTTGATATGTTTTAGTGTGAAGATTTGGGAGGACGACAAGGAGATTAAACCTTGCAAATCTCACTTTCCATCCCCCCTCAACCAAACTGCCCCCTTGACATTTTATAAATAATATATATATAGGAAAAAGAAATGGGATTTGGTTTGAATTAGTGGGGGTAGTGGTTGCACGATGGAAAGGGAAGTTGTTGGGTTGAGTGGGTTGTTTGCTAGAATAATGGAGATAGTGGGGTTGAACTTGGGACCTGAAAAAAGAAAAATAAAATAAAAATATTATTAATAATAATAAAAATAATAATCATAAATAAATAAATATTTTTTTAAACTCGGACAAAAACGAGTGTCTACAAGACCGTGTTGAAATAACAGTAGCAATGATAACAAGTAGCTCGACAATACCACGAGAAGAAGTGTTCTGTGCATCTGCCATGAATTCTGCATATGAAGCCTGAAATTAAACATAAAGAAAAAAAATAGATAACAACATCGGAACTGGAAAGAAAACAATTAAGAATCGAAATATTTACTTTCATTGCTTCATGGCTGCTATCAATCTTTTCCGATATCTTATTGTATTCCTTTTCCGCTTCCTCCAAAACTTGTTGGCATGCTTGCATCTGGATCTAACAAATTAGGGAATTAATATTTCATTCAGATAGAATTAAGAAGAATATTAAAGTATAATTCTAACAACATTATTCAAATTTAAATGTTCCCTGATTCTATGCAAGATCAGACGGATAAGCTGGAACCAGAGAGATAGAGAGAGACCTTGAAGCGCTTGTGGAGGCGAGAGTGAGTGACGTCGAGATCCTTGAGAATCTCATAGTAAGAACGATCAATGAGGTTCCGCTTTATATCATCCAATCAAGAAGATGTGAATTCCTTAAGATCAGAGATGGTTGTGTTGGGACCGTCGGTGTACCCCATGGCGCAGCGGAAACAAAACTCGACGGTCTCACCAGCGATCCAAGTACGAAAAACTGAAATCGGAAGGAAGAGATGCGAATACTCACACAGTGGGTTCCTTGAAAACAACAAGAACATCAGTGAATACGGTGGTGTAGATCGATTCGAATCGAAAGCCTCCACAAAATCACGTCTCGGCCTCTATTCAGTTCACCCGATTGTGAGCAATATTTGTATTCCCCAAAAATGTTTTGAGAGAAAATGGCTTAAGGGTTTGTGTTTGTTGCAAAAACGGCTGCTAGACCTAACACACCCTTTTATAGCCAAGTTACCCTAATCATATTAGGGTTTTATTATTTCAAATTAATTAAATATATATTTAATTAATTGGAATTTAATAATCCTCTTATATCCAAGTTACTCTAATCATATTGGGATTTTATTATTTCAAATTAATTAAATCTATATTTAATTAATTAATTGAAATTAAATATTCGGGATTATTAAAACATATATTTTAGTAACGTACAACAAATTGTACATCTTTGCTCGTTTCAATCCTAGGGTGTGACCTTGTAGGTTCTTATAACGTTAGCAGTAATTATTAGAACAATTCTAATATTACATACAATGAGTGACATCTAGCAATATATCATTGTCACCTAAGTTACAAGAAAATATGATTCGACATATCATCTTGGTGATTACTCTTTTATGTATTACATTCTTATGTCCTTTATATCTAGAATAGACACAAGTCTTAGAATAGTCACACTTATATAGCCCATCTATTGTTTCTTGATATCTAGAGTAGACTTTAATTAACGAATAGTTTATGATATCTCATATCAACTTATTCGAGCATGTCCATGCATTTCTAGTCTTACTCAATCATATCAACTTATTCAAGCATGACCATGCATTTCTAGTCTTACTCAATCAAGTGGCCTGTGATATATTTCCTATTATGTAGGAAGGACAAATCCTATCTTAATCATACACACCCACTACATATATTGAGATATATTCAATAACAGTCTTTATAGAGCAACCAGTTACGGAGCTTGTTTAGCTGCATCAAAACATACAACAATATATGTTGGGATAGTATTGATCTCAAGTCTGAGGATCATACATATAGTCATCACCATGAGCAATGTTATGATTGTCACATAATAATCCAAGACATATGCTTATGGTCGGTCAATCCAATACATTGTTCTCTAACAATATAATCATGTATCAATTCTGACATCTCTATGTCAATGACAACTCATTGTCATCAATCAATAACATGTTAGTCTTAAGCGTATTATTATTGTCTATGCCCATAATAATACTTGACTAGGGATCTTTTAATAATAATAATTATGTCATTATATGGACTTTATTATCTTCTAGTTTATGTTAAACATATATAAATGAAAATAATAGCGATAATGCCTTTATTCAATAAAATCGGTAAATAAAATTATTATTACAATCATCATATGATTGGTCTTTGAGCATACTCTAATAGATTGTTGGGGTTTTGGTGTTGGTAGTGAGGAGTGGAGATTGAAGAAAGCGGAAGCTGAATTCGAATGGGAGCCGTTAGCTATATTTCTCTTTCTTTTGCTGAAAATGGTTGATTTGGGAGGAGACTGGTTTTCCTCTGGAACAGGAGATGTCATTGGCAATGGCGACCTTCGATTGCTTCTCCTCTGCATTTTCGTTCGCAGCCAGCGTTATTACTTTGAAATGAGCCACTTTCTGAATGGACATTTGTATGTGCTAACTGAGCGGCGGGTTTTATTCTTTTCAAACTTTGGTAACTTTCTCGGAAATGTTTGGGTTGTGGCAGCTTGCTAGCTAAAGATTGACAAATTTCTTTTTTGATTCGAGGTATTTTAATTAGATCTAATTTAATATGAATTTTTAAAAATATAATTTTATATTATTATTATTTGGAGAAGAGAGATGAAATCAAAACAAATTTGAATTTAAAATATGAGTTTTATGATCAAACTCGATTCTATTAAATATATTTTCAATTACATCAATGTATTTTCATTTTATTTAAGAAAATGTCATTCTCTAATATATATAATTTTTTAATTTAATTTTTTCTATTTTTTCATTTTCTTTTCTTTTACCTCTTTCTTTGTGAAAATTATATTTTAATATTTGTGTTATTGATATTTTTTATGATTTAATATAGATATCAATTTATGAGTTGTTGATATTTTTTAATGTTTTGATTTCATTATGCCTCTAAAATATTTTTCTTTGGATAATTGTTATTTCTCTAAAAATACTCTTTTCCGACTAAAATTTTGTCTATCGAGCTCTCCGAAAAAATCCTTCCACTAATCAAGACATCTAAAGTTCCTATCTTCAAACTAGTTATCTTATCTTGACAAAACCTCTAACAAACCGACGTGATATTCAGTGTCAAATCTACTGTTAGGCGATCATATATATATATATATATATATATATAACATGTCAACCTACAAGTATCAATTATGACCTTAGGCTTAACACTGACATTGAGGGTTACTTTAAAATCTCTGAGTCAAGACTGAAAATGAGGGTCTTCTCGAGTTCTCTAAGACAATCATGACATCTTCTAAACTAGACAACTTTGATCGTCTATAATTTCTCTATGAACCGCCAATTGTGGTTTTCATCCAAATCAAAAGAGTCGAATCACATATAACAGTCATAACTCAAATGTTACCATTAACAATTGGTGTGGTGAGCATGAAACACCTCATGATAGTCGAGATGCACACCCAAGCACAAAATAACTAATATCACCCTATTCTCTACTTAAAATTTTCCCCGATTCACTTGGATTTTTCTGGCCAACGACTGTATATCAAATTGCAGAACTTGCATGTGCAACCTCGACCTTCATAAATAGTTTAACTGTATTTACAGTGATAGGACTAGTTAGCCCCCAGGCCCCAACATCACAATGACATACGATAGAGAGACCAAAAAAAATGGTAGACAATATAAATAATGTAACTTTAGTAACCATCACATAGCTAGTAGTTGCGAGAGCAACCTCCCCAATGATTTTTTAGACAAAAGACTAGTCTAGGGTAAACTTATTAGTTAGTCCTCTGTATCCTCTTTAGATTAGATGAGATTATTTATATTATAGATGGGAAATCCATTTACACTTTAGACGAGACAAAACTTAGAATAGATCTTCCTTTTAGCATACTATGTAGTACTTGAATATATATTTTAATTCAAGTACTTTAATATATTGAATGCATACAAAGATCAGAGTTATTTCTTTTTCTATTTAAGTACTAAAACCCTCTAAAAGTATCTTATCCATTATATGTTGTCATAATGTTTCTGTTGTGTTGTTACGAAATGTCTTCTCTCTGGTTATGAGTGTCGAACTGCTACATTCTAAGAAAAAAAATATTTATCTTCTTATCAACCAGTCAGACGAATTAAAATATTTCTGTTACACATAAGTAATATCGAAATATCTCCAATTTTTTCATAAAAACTTTAAAATATCTCTGCACATAAATAAATTAGATGTTGAATATTATTAAAAAAAAGTATCAAGGTTTTATTTATTTGCTTTTTTATTACTAGAAGTCTAAAACTTGGG